ATACAATGCGACAAGATCAGCTTGTACTCGAAATGGGCGGGCCTACACGTGAATCACAAAAAATGCGCAGTGACGGGCATCCTGCACCACAGGGCATGGGCCGACCGAGGCCTGAACGGACCCACGTGTGCACGCACCCTCAAGGCAGCCTTGGATGAAAAAATCAAAATCAGCGACCAGTCAGTGCCGTACCTACCCCCCACGGAACCCTACAAGTACCTTGGGGTCCACGTAACACTGACCCTCAACTGGAGCGCACAGATGTCCCACGTCTGCAAGGCGGTGAGGGACAAGGGCGACCTACTTCAGGGATCCCTAGCATCGCCGGACCAATGTATCAGAATCATACAGACTTGCATACAAGCGGTAGTGTCATACAGCTTCTCCACCATGGCATACACTCCTAATGATATCAGACTTTTGGATGCGATGATCGCACGCGCAGCCCGACGCTGCTACCGCTTGCCCACCAGTTTCCCCACACGTGCCGTGCTGCTACCGGTGGAACAATATGGACTCGGCGTTGGGTCCCTGCTACCGATCTATGTGCGCATGGCAGCTCGCGCGCTGGTCCTCTCCCTGAATGATGAAGGCCGGCTAGGCGTCGTGACACGAGCCATGCTTGAGCTGCAGTGTCGTCTGGCGGCCGACACTAGGATGCACACGTTGAAACGCGAGAGCAGTTTCTACACGACCCTGAAACAGCTGACCCTGGCGCGAGACCATGGCATCGCGGTCACCGACACAGGGATGCCGTATAACACATCCCTAAACACTCTCATGACGGCCGCCTCCGCCGTCAACGCGCAGCAGGACACAAAGCCCGAAACCCTGCCGTACAGATGCTTGCTCCCCTTGACAGAGCTGGGCCTAGACATGCACGCGCTCATAGACAAGAACACAACACAACACCTCATCACCACCACTGATCTCCAGAAGCTTTTCCCCCGGGGCAAGGTGCAGCACCGGCACAAGATCGCCTTGAATCGACTAAGCCTAGCGATAAGTGCCCAATGCCCCCAAGCTCCACACACGAAGGCACATGACCCACGTCGCTGGTCGTCCGCGCTGCCTCTGGAAGACAGACGCCTCCGCGAGATCCCCAGTGACCCTCCGTACACCGGCCTCCGGCACAAATCAAGTCTCCCCAACCCGATACTAGCACCATCCCTCGACCCACATGTACGCCGTGACACACCTGTCGTGTGGAGCACGACCACGAAGAAGCCACACCATCCCCGCGCAGAGCCAGACGACATGGA